GGAGTAAATCAAATATGTGCCATGTATTATTTCGATGTCCGATTGTACAACAAATTTTGGATGAGAAAAATATTCTATATCCGACCTCGGGATACACTGTCTTGTTGGAGAAGATTCTCACTCACATGCTATACTTGATGGAGAATAGGGCACCAATGAGAGTGCCGACACAATCTATACAATGGGTGTTATGATGCATATGGAAGAATCAGAACTCAATTCTCTTAGCTGCAAAGCAAGTAAGTACTTATGTGTTACTCTCTAATGCCATTGAAGAAGTTAAAAGTTGGTGGGAGGCGAACATGAACACAAAAGAGGATGGAAATGATCAAGATAGGGGTATTTATTCAGTAGAAAGATGGCAACCTCCGTTTCAGGGTGTTGTCAAATTAATTTATATACAAATTTATGTCAAATTAATTTATATACAAATTTATGAGACGCATCTCTGCATAGTGGTGGTGTTTGGTTGATGATCACACTGGATCGGTACTTTACCATGCAAGAGATGCCATTATGAGATCCCCTAATAGAATTGTGGCGGAATTACAGTGTATAATTTGGTGTTTGCAAAGTCTTAAAGACCTTCACAACAAAAAAAATTATGGTGACAAGCTTTTATGTGGCTTTTGAGAGTTGCTTTTTGAGATGGAAGCATATGGATCAAATGACATTGTATCGTAAAACTTTTGTTACAAAGTAACTGTTGAGAATTCTATTGGATTTAGCTTTTCAAAGTGGTAAATGCCGAATTATCACTTACGACTGAAAGAGTTAAAAGATGACGCTCATTAATATCAATTAGAAAAGTTGTGAGCTTTTGTAGGCTTCAAAATCTTTGTCTCCGCAATTGTAGGGTTTATATTAAACATCTGCAAACAAATATGTCATGCTAAAAAAAAGTCATCCATTAAAAAATTCAACCCTTAATTACTCTCATTAGTAATTAAGATTTTTCTATCAGTCTATACAATACAAAAAGAGAATATGGTTTGTCCAATAAATAGTTTCTATATTAGAGCCATTTTCCAACAATATGTTTTCAAATTATCTAGAAACGTCCAACAGTTTCTTTTGATTCTTTACCTCAATAAATTTTGATTTAACGCTTCATTTTTTTTAGGTTGATGTTATTTGGTATATAAACCAAACAAAATAAGTGAAATTAACAACATAACCTAGCATTTGTTTTCCTAACGTGCAAATAAATTTTTTTTTTTCTAAACAAATAATTTTATTGCTAATCCTTATCTTATAAATTATTTGAACTTATCAGACAATATACTCTTCGATCGTTATGGTTAATGATTTTTTAATTTTTTTTTTAATCATCTGAATTTACGAATTATTACAAATTATGAGAATAATTATATGGATAATTTTAGTCTTGACATACGAGACCATTTCGAACTACTTTTA